GGTGTTTGAGGGATTTTGGACTAAACAATGTTCTTCTGCCTTTTCATGGCGATGGGAGTGGTCACCAGCAAGCGGCGCATGTGTCAGCTGGAAGAACAAAGTCACTTCCTGCTTGCTGGTCACCTTGCCTGTCTCCTCTTTCTGTGCCAGTTAACTGCACACAGGGAGCAGCCTCTGGGTTAATCCCCTGAGCTGTCATGGGCAGGATGGCTCCCGGGATGGCCTAGGGCACTCGCAGGGGTCACAGGCGAGTGACGTGTGTTCTGCTGCAAGAACAAAGCCCCTTTGTGTCTCCCAGACTGTGCCAGTCTCTGCTGTCTGTGCCGGTCAACCACGTGCAGGGAGCAGCCTCTGGGTATGGGCTGGTTAGCCGCATTCAGGGAGAAGCCTCTGTGCTAAGCTGTATGGTTGCTGTAGGCGGGGCCGCTCCCCGGCTGTTCCGCAGCAGTGGCGTGTCTGCCGTTTGCTTATAGTGCTGGCGATGCGGAAGGAATGGCAGGGTGCTTATCACTGCGAGGGGCTTCAGAGCTGCGTTGCCACCCAGGGGGTTAGGACTCCTGAAGTTCCTTAAAGTTCCCAGCCTGTTGGGCTGAGTGCCCCAGGATGATTTGGTCCATCTCTTAAACCCTTGTCCCTTTAAGACTTTTAAAATGTCTGCTTTTCTTTTGTCCCTGGGCAGCCAGCTGTGGGAACCTGTTCGCAGTCTCAATCTCTGACCTTGCTTTTCCACTCCTCCAATATGCAGTGCACCATGCAGTGTGTGTCTGTGCTGCTGGGGCAGACCACCAGGTCTAGTTATTTAGCAGTCCTGTGCTTCCACTCCCTCCCCATTCTGATTCCCTTCCTCTCTCTGGTGAGCTGGGGAGGGGGGAGTGCTCGGGTCCCGCTGGGTCATGGCTTTGTATCCTACCCTTTTCCACGAGATGTTGGGCTCTCGTAGATGTAGCCTGGCTCGTGTACTGTGTCTTCTGGTCAGTCTTTTAGGAATAGTTGTATTCGCTGTATTTTCAGAATATATATGGTTTTGGGAGATTTCTGCCACCCTACTCATGCCACCATCTTTAGAATCCCTTGATATCTTTTTGATACCCTGTTTTCATTTCCTTTGGATATGTGCCCAGAAGTGGGATTGCTGGATCATATGGTAGTTTTATTTTTAATTTTTTGAGGAACCTCTCTGCTGTTTTCCATAGTAGTTGCACCAATTTACATTCCCACCAACAGTGCATCCTTGCTAACACTTTGTTTTCTTTTCTTATTGATACTGGCCATTCTAACAGGTGGGAGGTGATGTCCAGTTGTGACTTTGATTTGCATTTCCCTGGTGACTAGTAATGTTGAGCATCTTTTCATGTACCTGCTAGCAATTTATGTGTCTTCCTTGGAAAAACATCTATTTAAGTCCTCTGCCCATTTTTAACTCAGATTTTCTTTTTGTTCTTAGTGAGTTGTAAAAGTTCCTTATGTATTTTAGATCTTAATCATGTATCAGATTGATGGCTTGCAAATATTTTCTCCCAGTCTGTGGATTGCCTTTTTATTTTACTGACTGTTTCTCCTGCTGTGTAAAAGCATTTTTGTTTGATGTAATCCCACTCGTGTATTTTTTCTTTTGTTGCCTTTGCTTTCAGTGTTATTTCCAAAAAAATCTTTGCCAAGACCATTGTCAAGGAGCTTTTCCTTTATGTTATCCTCTCCTTTTAGTAATTTTACAGTTTCAGGTCTTAAAATTTAAGTCTTTAGTCCATTTTGAGTTAAATTTTGTGAGTGGTGTAAGATAGAAATCCAGTTTCAGTCTTCTGCATGTGGTTCTCCAATTTCCCAGAAACATTTATTGAAGAGACTATCCTTTCCCCCTTGAGTTTTCTTGGCTTCCTTGTCAAACATTAGTTGACAATATATGCAAGGGATTATTTCTGGGCTCTTGATTCTGTTCCTTTGGGCTTTGTGTCTACTTTTATGCCAGTAGCATACTGTTTTGATTACTATAGCTTTGCAATATTGTTTGAAATCAGGAAGTGTGAAGTGTCTAGCTTTGTTCTTCTTTCTCAGGATTGCTTTGGTTCAGAGTCTTTTGTAGTTCTGTGCAAATTTTAGGATTTTTTTTCTGTTTCTGTGAAGTCTATAGCAATGAACCAGGGAGTTCTTCAGGCCCTCAAGGAAGTCAGTTACCCTTCTTTCTAGGATCTTCTAAAACCCTCCTCCTAACTCTACCTATGCTGGCAGTGGGCACAGGGATGGCTGTGCAACAGAGAAGACAAGTAGTGATTTTACAGCATCTTAGTACGCTGATGGACAGTGACTGTGAAGGGATATGTGGGGGGGACTTGGTGAAGGGGGGAGCCTAGTAAACATAATGTTCTTCATGTAATTGTAGATTAATGACACCAAAAAAAAAATTTACCCAAAATAGAAGTTAGTCACAGGTCCTGAGGGGCTCTCTGCTTGGGCCTGTGTGTGGACTTGAAATGTCTGTTTCTGATTAGTGAGGGGCACCTTTTGCTTACTCTGTGGGCTTTGGCAGCATTCTGAAAAATCGCTACTGTGTGTTTCATGTCTGATGACCCACAGGGACAGTTTTGCCAAGGGCCTTTTTGGTAGAGTGCCATGAAGTAGGCCACTGGACTTCCTGGGGCTGAGCAGCCTTGCCAGCCTGGGAACTTGTGCACCTCCTGCTCTACTAGGCTTCAGGGCTGCTCTGCATTTCCAAGGGCATTTCCAAGCCTGTACATCTGAATCCCCAGAGGCCAGGCTGGGCACACTGACTGTAAAGTCTGCTGCCCAGGAAAAGGTAAGGATTTGCTTCCTGAAGGTGAGAAGTGCTGCCCAGAGCAGGGAGGCCACAGCTGCCCTACCACCTCTGCCTTCCTGCTCGTCCTGTTCCCATGTTCGTCCTCGCCACACCTGCTTTTTCCCCCAGCCTCCTGCCCTTCCCTTTCTCACCTGCTCTTCCAAGATAAACCGTTTTTCCTGCCACCTACTTCATCCCTGGAAGCCCACTGTCTGCATAGGTAGAGTTTGGAGGAGGGTTTTAGAGGATCCTAGAAAGAAGGGTGACTATCTCCCTGAGGGCCAGAAGAGCCTTTTTGTTCATCTCAGCAGCCCCATGGGCCACTGTGAGAGTAAATGCTGGTTACCTCGTTATCGCCTGGAATCAAGCACAACTAGAGGCTAGAAAAAGATCACCCCTGTGACAGAGGGAAGCCTCAGTGGCCTGGGGACACTGAACTTTGGGGTCTTCCTTGGCAAGCCGAGAGGAACCCGGGGTCTCCCAGGGCACAGGCAGCAGTGAAGAGCAGGTACGGCCAGCTGCATTGATGAACCTCAGGGGGCCCAGGTCTGGCCCTCAGTGAAGTTTTTGGCATCTGCCAGCCTCAGCTTCCTCATCTCTAAAATGGGACAATACCCACCTTACAGGGCTACTTCAAGGACCAAATGAGGGAACAAGAAATCTAGCACATGTTTCCTGCTGTCTGAGGGACTCTCTGCTGACCTTGGAGGAGCACTGTGAAGGAGGGCGGCCCTGTGGCCTCAGCTGGTGAGGGGATGAAGACTCCAGCAGAGGCCGATGGGAGTCACATCCTGCTTCTGGCACTGAGCAGTTTATACCAGACCAGTTTCTTCACCCTTCTAAGCCTCTTAACTCTAAAAAAAAAAGAAGGACGGTGGGGAGCATACTAACATCTACTAAAAGAGAATTAATTAGTTGTGAGAATTAAATGAAATTAGATATAATGTGAACAGATCCACACAGTGCCTGGCATGCAATCTGCATCCAGTTAATGGCAAGGCTGTGGACTTTTCTTTACAGCCATGCTTTATCAAGGTGGTACTTCGCTGTATGAACCCAGCCCTGTTGCATGGCCATGTAAAGTAACAGTGGTCTGGTTAGTTTGAGCAAATGAAGATAAGTGAGGCAGTCAGAAATGTCCCCCATTGCTGGAGAAATCCTCCCAAGGAGGTATTCTCCACTAGTCAGCTGTGGCCCCGGGGGGAGCTAGCAAGCGAAGGGCCAGGTAATCATATGCATTGGCTACAGAGAGCTGAGACATTCAGAAGGCTATGTTTGTTCAAGGCTGGAGAGAGCCTCCAGTTGGTATCTTGGAATTCCCAGGGCCTTTCCCCTGTCCTGTGGGGACTAAGAGGCTGTCACTTTACTGGGGGTACACAGCAGCCTTCCGAGAGGCAGTCATATCCTCAGTCCTCATTTTCTGGTCCCTCTCCAATGCAGGGCACTGTGCTGGGTGCTTCAGACATGCCTCTCTCATCTTTACTGCAGACCTGGGTAGGGGCACTTCACAGATGAGAAAGCTGAGGCCCAGCCTCACTTGTCCTGGGCCATTCAAGGAGAAAGTGGTGAGCTGAAGTTCAACCCATACTGGCCATCTGGCCAGAACCTACATGCACTCTGCTTTTCTAACACCCGTGTAACTCATTTTTCCAGACAAGGTTGGAGCTGGCAGTGGGGCTAGGGTTTGCAGTGAATATGGACCTTAAAGCCGACTGGCTGCTGAGGCCTACAAACCATTTACTAAGGGTGGAAAATCCTCTGTCATTGCCAGTTTTAGTTGCAGAAGCAGGGTTGTGGGGGGGGCGGGTGTATGTGTGTTTGTTTGCTTCCTCATATATAAGGGCCAATAACTCACTGGGCAATTCAGGCCATTGCAGCAGTCTTCCCTTGTGACAGAGCCTGCGTTCCATTGGCTAATACCTTATACCCAGAAGCCCAGAGGAAGGAGTTAAAATGCTAATTTTCAGGGACTGCTCAGTCATCTTGATCCCATTTCAACACCAGCATCCTTCTCATACAGAACTGCTACCTCAGGTACCACCTAATTGCATGGTGATTGTGCAGGGACAGGAGACTTCAGTCCACCATGGGCTGCCATCATCCCCGAAGGACATTGCCTCAGTGTGGGGATGCCTCAACTGGACTTGGGAGGCGAGATGGGGTGGAAACCCAGTGGCCATGCTGGTGAACACTCTCTTCTTCTCATTAGGTGCTAGAAACATGTGTGAAGAACTGTGGCCACCGCTTCCACATCCTTGTGGCCAACCGCGATTTCATAGACAGTGTTCTGGTGAAAATCATCTCTCCCAAGAACAACCCTCCCACCATTGTGCAGGACAAGGTACTCGCTCTGATCCAGGTAGGTTGTCTCCCCTGGTCCAGGTTGTTGGGATGAGATGGGGCCTCTGATCAGTGAGTCCCCATGCTTTCACATTATTTGGAGGAAAAAATGAAGGCTTCTGCATTGAAATATTTGTTGCAAAATACTTACTATTTTATATTCATCCCCCTAGAATAAAACCCTAAGGGGTAGCTCTCCAGCCAGTTGACAGCCTTCACTGAAGTTTTCTGGGTGCCTGGCCCTCTGCTGCCCACAGGGGCAGATGGGGGGCCTTGGCAGGCCTCTGGGCACCAGGGATGATGTGGAGTAGGAAGGGCCACATTACAGTCATGTGCAGGGCTGGCGGGTCAGAGGGCCAGGGCCAACTGTGGAGCAGGTGGGGCAGGATGGGGGAGATGGTGTTAAGGAGTGACTCCTCAGGAGGTGACACTGCTGTTGGACCCTGAAGGTGATGAGGAGCTGGTGGAAAGGTCAGTGTGCGAGAAGCATCACAGGCAAAGAGCATAGCATGTGCAAATTCCCAGAAGCATCAAAGCAAGCAGTTGGCACATTTGAATCTATTCATTATTAATTGCTTTGTAACAAATTACCCCAAAATTTAGCAGCTTAAAACAACAAAAGTTTATGGCCTCATAGTTTCTGTGGATCAGGAATTCAGGAGCAGCTTAGATGTGTGATTCTGGCCCTGGAGCTCTCATGAGGTCGCAGTTGCGGTGTCAGCCACAGCCTCGCCTGAAGGCTGACCGGAGCTGAGGAGCCACTGCCCAGTCACCTTGCCCGCAGGCTGTCGGTGGGAGGCCTCAGTTCTCTGCTGACTGTTGATAGGGTGTCTGAGTCTCTTGCCCTATGGACCTTTTGTGTGTCCTCATAACACAGCAGCTGGTTTACCCTAGAGCAAGTGATCTAGGAGGAGGAGGAAGGATCTAGAAAGGAGGAGGAAGATGCTGCAGTGCCTTTTAGGACTGAGTCTTGGTAGTCACATGCCATCTTTTCTGTCACACTCTGTTAGAAGAGAGTTACCAGGTTCAGTCTCAAGAGTAGAGGAATTAAGCTGCACCTCTTAAAAAGAAGAGGATGTTTTAAAACCAGGACATGGAGATAGAGCATGATGGAGAATGTCTGTGGGCAGGGGCTTGTGAGCCATGTATGCTAAGGAGTTTGTGCCTTGTTCCGTAGGCAGTGGGGAGCCACTGAAATCTGAGCTGGGTGTACACAGACCTGGATTTTAGGCGGAGCACCCTGGTGCTCAAGTACATCCAGCATGGGTGATTAGTGCTGTGATAGATGAATGCTAAGCACCCACAGAGCCAAAAGGTGAGGGCAGACCAACCCAGGGGCAGAGGGTAGGCACAGGGCCTTCCCAGGTGGTATGGCACCTGAGGTTGAAGAGGAGAGAGGGGCGCAAGCCAAGCAGTCTGATGGATCTGTCTGTTCTTTGCGCTGTGCCCTCTGCCTGCAAGTCTTCCCTGCCATTGGGCTGTTGGCTCCTCCCTCATTCAGACAGCCCTCCAAGGCCTCCTACACCCGGCTCACAGCACAACCCTGCTCACACCTTCTCATGTCATCCTCTTCTATGGTCTTCAAGGACTTCTGTGCTGATGCTCCTGTCAGCTGCTCCTCTGGGCCAGGACACTGTATCCACAGGCTCCAGAGCACTTCAGTGTAGGGTAGGTGCTCAGCAAGTTGTTTTTCCTGATGAATGGATGAGTGGAGTTCACTGAAGCTCCAGGAGGGTGACATCAGAGTCTCCTGCTTCCTTACACTGTCCCTATCCCATTCTGCCCACCTGCATTCCTCCTTTCCTCCCTCTTTCTCTCATACAAACACCCTCACACAAAGAGGCACAAACCACCTCATCCCCTCCACCCCAACCCCTACCTCTCCCCTGGACAGCCCTGTCATTCTGGGGCTTTCCCAGTACACTCCACTGCCTCAAAACCTTCAGTATTTGATGTCAGGAAAATAAGCAGTGGCTTTTTATCACAAAAGATAGGGCATCCCAGTTTGAACTCTTCGTGCAGGCCCACGGTGGCCAAGGCAAGGTCTCTGGAGCCAGCCACGAGAGGGGCCCTTCCTATGGCCAGGCCGGGTGGCTGGTCGGCCTCCCCTGGCTAGTATAGCCATGACAAGGGTCAGTGATCTGTGCTGCCACTGTTGACTGTGTGGGGATCTCGGCTGAGGGTAAAGGGAGCCTTCTGCAGTTGGCTGTGAGCCGTGGCTCTCCCCAGGGATGCCAGCCCACCTGCTCTGACCTCCAAACTTCAGGGTCACCACCTCCTCCCAGCCCTGAGTGGGTAGGATGGGGCCACAGGAGACCGCGCCATGTTCCGAGAACTCCCCCTGCTGGCCAGGCAGCATGCGCAGCCACCCGCTGGGGCCTTGAGGGCCTCCCAGACTCCTATCTGGCAGGACCTGCTGGACAATCTCCCTGGGAAAACGCCAGGGTGCTTCCAGGTAGGCTGGATGACCTCACTGGAGATCTTTGGTCATGGCAGACCAGTGAAGAAAAGCAGGCAGCATTCAGAGCTGGCAGATGCCTTAGCTTCTGTCATGAGGCAGGCAATAAAAGAATAAACAGGATCCTTAGCCTTTTCTTTTCTTCTCCTTTTTATTGAATTATATAATATACATACCAGGAAATTTCACATTAAAAACTGTACAACTGGATAAATTGTTGTAAATCGAACCTACCCATGTAACTAACCCGTATGTTGTGAAGCAGAAGATGACCTCTAACCAAAAAGCCCCCACACCCCTGGAATGGCCACCCACCATCCTCACAGGTGATGGGTTTTTCCTGTCCTTGAACTTCATCTGTGTGGGCTCTGCAGCGGCGCTCCATTGTGTCTGTATGTGCAGGCCTCATGTCGTCACTGGGTGGGTGTGACCATAGGTCTTCCATCCCCACAGCCCACAGAGCTGTGCCAAGTCCCACTAGGTGCACGTGCCAGTTTCTCCCTCCTACAGTTGGTGGGCACTTTCCAGTTTGGGGCCATTATGAAAATTGCTGCTCTGAGCAGCTAACACATGTCTTTTGGTGAGCATATGTATTCATTTTTATTGGGTATGTATTAAGTTGAATATGTGAAACTACCATCTTTGGTCAAAATGGTCAAATATTAGCAATTTCATATGGTTCAACCTAATGCTGAGGAGTGAAATTGCCATATAGAGGGTGAGTAGTTGTACCAGTGGGTCTCCCGCGTTCTCTCCCACCAGTGAGTGAGAGTTTTAATCACTTCACCTGCTCACCAACTCGAGGTGTCTTCATTACAGTCCACTGATGAATATGTAGAGGTTCTGCATTCTGTCAGTCTTTTTTTAACCCCTTTGAGAAGGAAGATGATTTTATTCACATGTTGAATATACTTTTAAAAAGTGCACAAGGGCCTGATAATTCCCCCTGGAGAGCAGGAGTTGCTCCACTGTGAGACAAGATCGGGCTTTCTTGGCAGCCTGTGATTAGGAGACTCTGTAGAGCAGACTGAAGAGAGGTCCCACTAAATTTTTGGAAGCCAGAGCTGTAAGCAATTCTTTCTCGCCATCCTCATTATCTGGACATTTCTTGGTGCTCTTCAGAGCCCAGCTACCGGGAGGTGGGGCCTTGGTCAGCCCAGCCCTGCCCTAGGGGAGCCGGCCCTGTAACGGGAAGACAGAAGCATGCAGATGATGGAGGACCAGGGCCTGGACAGGGAGCACTTGACCCAGCTTTGGGATATTCAAGGGGCAGCCTGAACTCTGAATGTGCTGGCGCTTAAAAAGCTTTTAAGGCCAGAGGCTGTGCAGATGAGTGCCACCTCCCACCCTCTGGCCTGGGAGCATGGCTGCAGCTCCTGACAGAGGTAGAGCCTGTGGCTCTGACCCCCAGCCACCGACCTGAGCCCATCATCCCTGTGGTTGCTCCCCGAGGATGGAAGCAGGGCAGCAGGCACGTGGGAGAGCCAGTGCCTCTCTGTGCCTGTAGGGAAATGGGTGCTTGTCCTCAGATGTTGCCCTGGCCCCCAGCCCACCATCCCTTCTGATTCCCTTCCTAGGATGCTGATCACAGGCTTCGTCAGCCTAGGATTGGCACAGAGTGTCATTTCCAGTGGCGCATGTTTGTCATCAGCAGCCCTCTGGGCTGACTGTCTGAAGAGAATCCAGGGTGCCAGTCCCTTCCTCCCCTCTGAACTCTATCCTCTGCACTCCACCCCTCCTCTCAGCAAGGCGTCTGTGTCCTCTGGCTGTCCTCTAGCCATCTATAGCTACCCCATCTTCCCCAAGCCTCCCCACAAAAGATGCCCCCTCAGGCTCATATTCCCCAGAGGCCCTGCCCTTCAGGGTGCTCACGGAACGCTGCCCCATGTTCTGTTTCTCCCAACCCAGCGTGTGAGCTTAGTGGGGTATGGTTCTGGACACATTTGCCTGACTGGTAAGGTAAGCTTACCCAGAAGCAGGTGTTTGCCCTTTGGGAAGGGGGCAGTCTCCCTGGGAGCATGGGAGGAAATACATGAGGGCAGAGCAACCTGGTGAGCAACCTGCTGACTCTCTCACCCCCAGCCTTTGAGCCTCCCACCCCTTTAAGCTTTCCCCCTGTGTTCTTCACATGGTCCCTTGGCTGGCCTCAGGGCTACCTGCCTTCCAGTCTCCTGAGGCAAAGTCCTGTTTGTTGAGAGCAGAAGGCTACCCCTAGTCCCTGCCATCCCTTAGCCTTTCATTTGAAGTTATTTTCAGGAACAGTAATGTCACCATCCTACTAGAGTAACCTCATCGCATGATGCCTCTCCTGCCCCCACCCCTGGGCCCCAGCAAGAGCCTAAAAATACTCTGTTTCCACTGAAGAAAGTGAGCTCGTGGGGTCGGGGTGGGGGCTGGGGTGGGGGCAGGAGAAGCTGGAAGTGGTGTGTTCTTGGAAGATGTCTGAGACCTGGTGCCCAGCCTTTGGCCAGATTCTGTGTGGATAGGCTGCGCTCTGGGGACCCTGTCCCTGGGAACAGGAGGTCTGGTCTGGGGGCATAAGCAGAGCATGACAGCTGCCACAGAACAGAACTCATAGCCAAATCACAAGTTGTTCATTGACCTGAACTTGTTGACTTAAAACTTTGTCAAAACTTGCAGGATGCAGAAACCAATAGGATGTAGTTCATGTTTATATAAGGTTTTAGTCTGGGGTTTGGTAAACAATCCAAAGGAACAAAGGAGATTGAAACTTAGATTTCTCTGTCTTTTTTCCCTCTCATTAGATCTTCCTCTGTGTCTTTCAACCTGTAGCACTGGAGGCACAGGAGAAAAAGGGAGAATTACATAAAGAGCAGTGAGATGGCCACTCCATCATTAGCCAGCCAGCCCCTGTGACAGGGAGCCCTCAGAGGGGCCAGCACTGCCATGTCACTTTGCTTTCTGATCGGGCAGCCTGCCAGCAGCCCCTCCATACCTCCCTGGCTTTAGGTTAGAGATCCAGAGTAACCAGACTGGTTTGCCACCTCTCCCTAGAGCAGATTCTCAAATCCCACCTGGGCCAGCTGTCCAGAGGGGCTCCACTGTATCACTGTCATCTCACTCTGTTGACAGCCTAAGTGGCTGTCTTCATCTGTTCTCTGAAGTAGGACAATGAGGAAGCTTGGTAACCATGAGAACTGGACTCAGTCTCACTTGACAAATGCTGACTGACTGCCTTCTCTGTTCAAGGGTTGCTGTGTGCCTTCAGAGGTAGGACCCAGCAGGGAGGAAGACAAGAGCATCGTCCCAGGAAGATGCTAGAGGCACACAGCATCTCTGGAGTTCTTCCTTCTGCATTTCCACATTCCTTTAAAGGTGCCCCCACCCCATTCCCCTGTCGGCATCAGACTCTTGTTCAGTAGAGAATGCTACCATGAACATATGCTCTGTTAGCAGTTGCCTCCACACAGCTGCACAGGGGTCCCACATGGGTTAAAATAGCAGTAGGTGGGAAGGGAGTGGATTAGCCGGGACTGCTTTGTTACAATAACAGATGCCAACTCCTGCTTGCCTAGGCAAAGAGGAGAGTTTATTAGACAAGGCAGGGCTTCCCAGAACCCTGGGTGTGACTGGGCCTGGGGAAGGGACAGGAGGGATGGGGAAAGCCCTCCAAACCCCCTCGTGTGTCTTCCTGCTGCCGCACACCAGCTGCCCCTGTCTGGGTACACAGGATATCTCTGCCCCTTGGTCCCAGGCTGGCCCAGGGCTTCCTCCCAGGGCCCATGTCTGTAGAAGACAGTTTCACCTGCCCAAATCAAGCAGCCCAGCTCTCCCTGGCCAAGGAAAAGTTCCTGGGAGAAGAAGAATGTGACAGGCCAGCTTGTAATGTGTGTTTCCCTCCCAGTGCCATAGATGGGGGAACCTAGGGACTCGCTGTTTGGGCAGATACCCCAAGAAATACCCACTGCCAAGAGAAAACAGTGATGGTTCTTCTTCTTCTTCTTCTTTTTTTTTTTTTAGTGATGGTTCTTTAATCTTCATTCTTCTTATCTCAGATTTGGCTGGGATGGAGAACAAGCTAAATTAAAAGGGGTCCCTGGAGCTGTTCTTCCCCCATAGGAACAGGCAGGAAGCCATGGGAAGAACTGCCAAACCTTCTTCTCCTGACCTCCCACAGCAGCTGTGGAGCAGGTCTAAGGCTCTGAAGTTTAGACCCTAAGCTAAAATGCTGGTGTGTTTTGAAGCTGGAGTCACAGGACTCAACTGGATTTTGAATCAGGTGGCACCAGCCAAAGCAGCTGGTGGAGAGTGGGGCTCAGGGGCACTCCCCACTGGCATGTCCAGACAGGCCTCCTCGGGTGTCCTCAGCCCTCCCAGAGTCCAGGAGGAAGTGCTGCCCAAGAGGGGCTGTCTTTATGCGGCATTAAATACCAGAGTATGCAAAATGAGTAAGTGGGTAAGGAAGCCAGGCTGGTAGGAATGTTTGTAGTAAGTGAGATGCTCAGTCGTAATGAACAAAGCTTTTTGGGAACTGACCTTTTAACTTCAAATGGGTCTGTTAGTTAGAGTTTCTGTGGCTGCTTCAGGATTGGTTGGAATGAATTGCTAGAGCCAGAGAGGCAGCTAAATGCTTGTGACAGCAGCAGAATTGGCAATGGAACCATGGGTTGGAGACACTGGGCCTCCTGCTCTGAGTATGTATATGGTGACAGCATGGCTCTGAAGAGCTGGGCTCCATTTGGGGGAGCCCTTTGGATATACATCTTTTTAAAATGTATTCTATAACATCTAAAGAACAGAATTTTTTTAAAGTGTTTCATGAATCAATGATGAGTGGCAATCTCTTCAAATATGTGTTCTTTCCTTTCCGTGCTGTGTTTTCATGTAAGGGAATCTAGTGGGCATGCCTTGCAGTGGGCTTTTGATGTGGGCACATGTACGTGGACGTAGTGGGCAGCACGGGCTCTCCTGTCTCTGGGCCTGTCATCTTGCCTGTCAGATCATGGGCTGGGCTAGGCAGTCTCAGCTTTAGCACTCTCTGATCTACTGAGGAAACCTAGACTTAGCCTTAATTTTCTGTCACACATCAATTTCTCCTTTCCTTTCTGCTCAATTTGCCTATGGTTCCTGCCTTCCCCTGGGACAGCTCCGCAGAGCAGAGCACAGAGCTGAGCATGCATGCAGAGCGCACTCCGGTCCCAATGGTGTCCTGCGTGCACAGCAAGCAGGCAGCCTCCTCACACCCTTCAGCTTAATCTCACCAGGAATGGATTTCCTTGCGATCAGGGAAATGTGTGTGTTTTAGGACACACCACAGTGCTGAGGTGTCATGTCTGTTTCTTCTTTCCAAAGAAATACTACATATGCTGAATTAGGTTCTGTGTTTTTATTCATGCTCAGCAGCGCCATTGAAAATCGAGACTTCCCCAGCCACATTGTGGCAGCACTGGCAAGGGGAAAGGATCAGAATAGGTGTGGCCAGGGCAGTTCACAGTCCAGAGGGTCGGAGAGAGGACCAGGGCTGCCCTGTGACAGACCCGGTGAGCACACCTCCTAACAGGCCTTCTTTTGCACTCCCAGGCATGGGCTGATGCCTTTCGGAGCAGTCCTGACCTCACTGGCGTTGTGCACATATATGAGGAGCTAAAGAGGAAGGGGGTTGAGTTTCCCATGGCGGACTTGGATGCCCTGTCTCCCATACACACACCACAGCGGGTAAGCTTCCAGCTGGCATTTTCTAGAAAGACCTATTGCAGAACAGGCAAGCCACTGCCACCACCCTTCTGGCTGCTCCATTTGAATTATTCAGCTTGTCATCACACTTTCTTTAAGCTTGAGGACATTTCTTTTTAATAATAAGGGGAATGCAGGAGGGAGACAGCTGGTTGACTGGTGATGAAGTGGCAGCAGTGTCTCCCCCAGCTTTCGTACTGACTGAGGGAGGATAGGATAGAGGGTTGGTTCAACATCTTCATGGAAATGGCTGCTTGGGCAGAGCCACCCTGTGAGGGCTGTTAGCACCTGCTTTTCAGAGGCCCCAGGAATCTGGTGTGGGAATGCCGGCATCTCCCCTTGATAGCACCAGATCACCTCAGTGTTGGCGATTCAGAGGGCTGATGATGTCACTGATTGTGGAGCAAAGAGCAGCTTTCAGCTTTTTTAACTGTACAAGTCAAATGGATCTAAATTTTACTTTGAGCTATGAGCATACGGCATCAATCCAGACACCGTTGAACTCTGTCAGCCTTGGGATTCAGAGCCCCAGGGAAGGCCCATTTAAGGACCTCCTGTCAAAGCTCTCACAACGTGGGGTGGCTCTGTGCTTCAGAATTAAAAGCACACAGGCAACCCATTCATCCTCTCACAGGGAAGCTAGTACCTCTACTGTCTGGGAATAAGCCCCTGGTGCCGCCAGAGAACCAGGAAGTTCCAGTTCTAGGAGGCGCCCTTTGTCCCAGCTCACTCTGCCTTTCTGGCCCCCATCTGCCGGCCTCAAACGGGGGCAAGAAGCCTGGCATCCTTGTGCAGGTCTCTTGCGTGAACATAGCTAACATTCCAGAGGTTCTCTGAGATGCCCTAAAGTGAAGCACAGGAATTATTATACCTTCCAGAGCATTACTCTTATTAATCCCTCCCAACTGCTTGCTCTGTTTTATGGAATAAACATATCCTGTTTTATTCTGTTAATAACGACACAGAACAGTGTTGTTCCTATAATTACAAAGAACATTCAGCAAAATGCATAATTACTATTTATGTTAGTCTACTTGTAAAGGCCGAAGTGTAATCTTCTGGTACCAAGTAATGATCCTTGATGAGCAAAACTTAATAGCAGCCCCCCTCCACTCAGATCCCGAGGTGGCCCTAACAGTGGGAACCATGACCTCTACCCTCATGGTGCCAGCAGTGCTGCCCCTCTGAGCTGCACTTGTTGTCTGGGAGGTGAGCGGCGGTGGAGCTGTCCTGGCCCCCTCTGCAAAGGAGAGACTGGGTGCAGAGGGCAGAAGGGTTCCGAGCCTCACAGGGCACCAGGAGAGCTGGGCCCCGCCTCTCACAGGTGGCTTGGCGGGGGGCATGCCCTGGGCTGGTTAGGCGCCAGGCCCAGCAGCACGGGCGGCGGCCCAGATGGAGCACTTTGTTGTTGCCGTGCCAGAGTGTCCCTGAAGTGGATCCAGCCACGCCAGCACCCGCGCCCAAGCCCCAGCTGCAGCAGAGGACAAGGGCCGGCTCCTGCTCCTCGTCTCCTGCCGCTCCCTACTCCACTGCACAGGGCCCGGCTCTGAGTGTGACTGGCCCCATCACAGCCAATTCAGAACAGGTACTTGCGTTCTTCCCAGACACAGGCAGGCCAGAGGACTGCCCTAGTTCTCCCTCAAAGACCCTCGGAGGCCTTCCCGGACCAGGCACCCTGCTGGGTGTCAGCCACACCCATATGGAGGACCCCAGCCACCTCTGCTGAGGACTCACGGTCAAGTACACGGAGACAGGTGAAAGATAGGACAGTGTGCTCCCTCTATGGGGGAGCCTGGCCAAGCCTGTGAGCCCAGAGTTGAGTGCTGGCCGGAGGGCAGCCCTGGGGGCTGATGCTGCTGAGCATCTGGAAGGTGAAGTGGGGCTGTAGGAGGCAAGGTGTGGCCAGGGATGCAGGGGAGCCTGGCATGCTGGGAAGTGGGGTGGGTGGTTTGGAGGGGGTGAGGGGTGCAGAGGAAGCATCCCAGAAGGTCTGAAATCATGGCAAAGGGTGGGGCCAAAATCACAGGAACAGAGTGGAGTTGTAAACAGCCTGTGTGTCCCACAGAGATGTACAGATTATTCTGAAAGACGTGACAGCCATCAGAGGCCAATACCCCACCAGCAAGTTTCCTGTGAGGAAGAGGCTAGGAGGAGGGAGACCAGGCGTTTGGGAAGCGTGCCTCCTGCCCCCACCCTAGGCACCGCTCACCTTCCCTGAGATGCTTCCTGAAGCTGATGCCGTTCTAACCCCAAACTGAATTTTTTTAAATTACTTGTAGAGACTAGTATTTAGATGAATCTGTAGAATTTCTATTAGTTAAAATTTGAGAATTGGTCAGACTTGGAAAAAAATCTACCTAGTATTTATATTTCTTAAATCTTGATTTAATAGTTGTGACAGACATTGTAACAATTATTATGGGTCCTTATTTAAACAGGGCTCAGGCAGCTAGGTCTTGTTCATGGAAGTGTTGTGTCAGGGCTGTGTTAACATGTCACCAGCTCTCAGGAGGAGCGTGCTGTGAACAGGAGGGGAACAGGAAGCCATACAGGCCTGGACCCAAGTCCCTGCTCTGCTGATTTTGTGAGGTTTTGGCCAGCATTTGACCTCAGTCTGCTGTCAGTAGAACGGGGCAGCAGTCCTTCTCTCTCACCCCACAGGGCAGTTGTGGGTTTGACAGGCAGCTTAAGAGGCCTCAGAGTAATCACCCAGTGCCATGTGCACTGCCAAGGGAGGAAGTCAAAGCTGAAACATCATGTTTATGTTAACTGTGGGCTTCAGTTCACTGACATCTGCCCTTCCTCCTAACCCACGATGGCCAGCATCTGTCCTCAAAAGGGGAGCCCTGGGGAAGGTCTCAGGCTCCATCCTCTGCTTCTGGGGGCAGAACTGTGCCCCCTTCTGCTCAGAGGGCAGGCTGCTGTGCTCTAAGTTGGGTGGTCACTGAGGCCCCCACTGAACCATCACACTGTGGGAACTTGGGAAGAGCCCTTCCAAGCTGCCAGAGCAGTTAGGAAGGTCTGGCATAGGCAAGAAAGCATGAATATGGCCCTTAGGGGAAAACGGAGGCAGAGACAGGCAGGAGCCACATTGGACTTCACTGGTCCCTGTCACATTCCTGGGCCTCCCTGGTTGGAAACCCTACTGGCCATCCACTAGGCAGAGCCAGAGGTAGAAAAGAGCCTCTCAGGATCTCACCCAATGCCCTGAATTGACCATTTGTCCATCTGTCCACCTAATAAACATTTATTGAGGCCTCTGATCCCTGTCTGGGTGTTGAGGGTACAGATCTCACCCCAGCATTGTCTCAACCCCCAGGGGTTCGACAAAGGGCAGGAAGGGCCTGTGGGAGGAGCAGAGTGCTTGGTTCCACCTCGGGAGGGGCAGGGGGAGTCAGAAGAGGCTCCACTGAGGAGAGAAGGTCAAAATGCAGTGGAGAACCACAGCCAACTCCAGCTATCCAGATGTTCCAGAGGGGCACTGGGGACCTACTCAGTGCTGGCGGCAGGTGTGTGCCAGCCCCACCCAGGCACTCTCAAATTTGTTACAGCAGCCCTGTGTGGTATGGGTGTCATTTTTACCTTTCTGCAGGTGAGGAAATGGAAGCTCAGAGAGGTTAAGGTCCACCTCTCCTGCAGGAAAGACAGCCCAGGCCTCTGCCTGGGTTCCGGCCTTGGGAGCTCTGTTGGATGGCCAGGTCCTGTTGCTCTCAAGGGGACCTTGGTGGGAGCTGGGTGGGGAGGGGTCTTCCGTGTGATCTTCTTTTGGTCCTCTTTCATTCTTGCCACATCAGAAAAGTGCAGTTAATGCTGGCCAGCCTCTTGGAAGGGTCACAGTATTTACACTGCAAACTCCTAGGGTCAGACTCTAACAATGAGGTTCCCTTGTGAAAATCTCAATGCTGAGGGATGTGGGGATCATGCACTCTACGACTTTCACTTGAAAAAGCAGAGGCAGAGTCCTGAAAGAGGTTTAGTCCCTACCCACAGCCCCATTTCCCCAAGGCCCCGTGGTGGAAGAGCCCAGGCTTGCAAACCAGCTCAGTCCACTCTGGGCCTAGCACTGTCTCCCTGCACAGCACTGATGGGTGCTACGAACAGTCCCCAGTGACAACTTTTGGTAACCAGGGTTTCTGGGTAGCCTTGTGCCCCCATTCAATCCTTTCAGATGCCATTACCCTTGTATGCAGACTGGAGTGAGGCAAGGAGGCTTCTTGTTGCTGCACATTCAGAGGTGTGACCTCGGTGTCACAGTGAATGAGACTGTCACCAGACCGGTACAGGTTGACTGACCTCTACTTTGTGCTTTTATCCCCTGACTCCAACAGATTGCGAGGCTGCGGAGTGAACTGGACGTTGTTCGAGGAAACACAAAAGTTATGTCTGAGATGTTAACGGAAATGGTCCCTGGGCAAGAGGATTCATCAGACCTGGAGTTGCTGCAGGTGAGGGGCTCAGCCTGTGGAAGCTCTGGGCCAGAGCACACGGCAGTGAGACAGGAACAGGGTTTGGGGGACTGTTGTTGGAAGGGACTGAGTCCATATAGGCCCGTGTTCAGCCTCATATTTTCTTTAATCCCAGTATCCACAGATAAGCACTGTCAATGTTTTGGTGTGTTTTCTTTCAGTCTGTTTCCCATGGTTATCTTTGTTTCAGATGTAGGTGAGATCCCATCATGTATACGATTTTGTGTATCGCTTTGCTCTCTCAGTATGGCAGCATACTCATTGGCAACAGGACCTCTTTGCCCTGCCTGCACGCAGGAGCCCTTCTAGTCACACCTGACACCTCAAGACACTCCTGATCCTGAGGCAAAGCTGACACGCTCCTTTCTTTCCCCAGCTCTGGGGCTTCCCAGGTGGGGGTCACCCACGCTGTAGTGCCTGAGGGTCTGTTGCTAACTGGCCTTCTCTGCCCCTGGACACCTGCACATCCAGGAGTGTGACAGAAAGGGGTCCCTCAGGCAAGAATCAAGGATCTGCCCCAGGTCTGTCTCCCCAGCAGCCAAGTCCAGAGCTAGTGACCAGGTCTCCTCCACGCCCGTCTCGACTCAGCACTTGTAGAAAATGGCACCAACACTGCCCTTGGGAGCAGTGGCCTGGAGGGGTGGAGGAGGCGTGCTGGGAACTGCAGGGGCCGGACCTTGTCAGTGGGCAGGAGGATGCTTGCATACACGGGAGCCAGACCAGCCTGGCAAACCATGCGCCTGCTGCTGCTGTGCTTGTCTGACACTCAGAGTCAGCAGCCTTGGCCCCCTATATACCATACCTCCCACCCCATTCCTGGCACAGTCTTGCAGCCTGTAAAGGTACAGCTCTAATAGCCCCGTCCTTCAGCAGTGCACAGCCAGACCCTCATCCCAAGCTGCTGCTTGTCATGCCGTCTACTTCAAGGGGGTGAGGGTGCATGGAGGCCTGCTCTGGACCTAACAGAGCAAAACACTGAGCTGCATGGGCTGTGCACCTTCTGTGCAGGAACTCGCAGCCAGGGTGGAGATAGGCGGGACACAGCTCATCTCTGTGAAACCACAATGCCAGGCTGCTCTTAGAGCTGAGGTGATCACCCTTGGCCTGAGAAAGGAACCCTGAGGGCTTCCCACCCCCCACTGCTGACAGCTACAGCAGACCAGGCTTACCTCAGGTCGGCAGGTCCAGCTATCCACATGCCACACACCATGGGACCCAGTGTCCCATTAGTGCATCCTTGGTCTCCATTCCCAGCCTGCAGGGGGGGTCCTTCCAGGCATTGCCCATAGCCCAGGAATCTGAGATCAGTCCAGAAACGGTCCAGAAAATGAGAGGGTCTCTTGAGGCAGCTTTGTGCTGTGTCAGCATTAGAATTCCTGATGACAGGGGGTTGCAGCGGACAGAGCTGTGCTCCCGGCAGCAGGAGGTGGGCTGAACAAAGCCAACATGCTTCCAGACAGCCAGAGTAGACCCAGACAGCAAGCATACTCGTGTGTGTGTGTGTGTGTGTGTGTTAAACAAACCCATCAGCCAAGACAAACAGAACCTAATCTCCTGGCGTCAGCTCACAGTTTTCAAAAATAGGTTGCTTCCCATGATGTTTTCCTTCCCTCTGTTTTGTTCCAACTCCAAGCCTACTAGCCCTCCCTGCTATCTTATAAATCAAACAGAGAAAGAACGATTCTGGTGCCAGTGGGAGGCTGGCCTTTCAGCGCAGGAGATTCAGGAGTTGGTCAGCTCTGTGGAAACAGACACGGCTCTCCTGGCTGCTGGCCTCATCCCTCAGTCATTCCTGACATCTTCCCTCCTCGTCTTCTCCTGGCAGGCAGCAGCCACCTGGGCAGGGTCTCCCAAGGGATGGGGCCGCCTCAGATGGTGAGCCTTCCCCATGGGAAAATGCTGCAGTCTGCTTGAAAAGTGATAGGATTAGAATGTGCCCCAGGGACCCCTCAGTCAGGCTGGAGGGCAGCCAGATTACTCAGGATGAAGCTGACCAGAGATCCCAGTGCTGGCCAGAGCCATGGAAATAAATATATTTGTCACCAACCCAATGTTCATGCTAACAGAAGCTGTTCCCAGTTCAAGTGTAAATTGCTGGATAGGAGGTGGAGGAAACGGGAAGAGAGGAAATTGGAGGTGGCAGCCCTGGGATGCACCCGTGGGGCTGACCATAATTGTGGGCGCTTAGTCCTGATTGCTTCCTGCTTGTCGCAAAGCACTTGCAGGGCTGGCTTTGCCGTGGCCCTACAGGGCAGCAGGGGAACTTGGCAGGAGAGCCATTTACCTGAGGACTTGCAGGTGGGTGAGGGGAGGCTGAGGCCACTCCACTAGCTGTGCTGCCCTGGGACAAGTGAGGCAAGCTGCCCAGGGGGAATCGGCACCTCCTCTCAGCCCCATGGGGCCCTTCACTCTCTGAGCTGGGGGAGACCTAGGCAAGAAGTCCAGCTCCACTCCTGTGCTCAGGTTCTCTCCACGGCATCTGGCCTGGTGCCCAGCTCACTTTCCTTGATGTCCTCAATGGCGGGCTGTGTGGGGGTGCCCACGGGAGTGCCTCTGCTTCCCATTGCCTGGGCTAGACCTTGGGATGCAGAGTTAAAAGAATCACTGGGTTTACATTCAGGCCAGACTGCTCACAATCTGAGCAAGTCACCCGCCCTTGGAACCTGGAAGGACTGGAGATCACCAGTGTACGGTGCTGGGTGCAGGCAGGTCGCCCCCAACTTAGAGCTCCTGTGATTATCAGTGGCCCTTCCATACATCATGCCAGAGCCTGCCTCCCTATGACTACCACCCTGGCCAGCTTCTCTAACAACAGAACAAAGCCCTCTTTCCCACAGTAGGTCCTTCAGTATTTAAAGACTGCTGTCAGCTCTCCCACAGCCTGATCTTTCTGCGGTACAGATATGGTTGTTGGCTGCCTATCTTGTAGATGACCAGGCAGTTTTCAGCAGGAGGCAGACATTATAAAGCCAAAAGCTTCCATCAACTGAAAACTTTCCACCTCTTTCTCCTGGGCCTGTTAAGCTGTATCTTTCCCATCCTGTATGTGGGCACTTGGGTCCAGGCTTGAAATTTGAGACCCTGCATCTGTGTATGCTGAAGTTCATGCCCTTAGCTACAGGCTGGGGGGCCAATTTTTGGAATCTTCAAAGATCCTGATGCTGTCATCCAGTGCCCTCTGTTTCTCTCAGATTATCCTCTTGAGCTTTGCCCTCAATTAAGTTTTCATTAACCTAGCAATGCCAAAAATGGGCATTCCTACATGGCCATCCACCAGTAAAAGAAGCCCTCCTCTACGTTGTTTCTTCAAGCAGCAGGAGGTGTATCCCCTCTCACTTCTTACATCTCATTTCAACAAAAAACAGGTTGGTCAGGACGATTTTTCTAGAGATCTAGTTTACATGTTTAGCTTCATGTTCCGCCTTTCTCTCCAACAAAGACTTTCTTCTCCCTCCCCTCTCTTTGCAGCTATAGAAAGCAGATCCTCAGGACCTATTCCAGGCTCCTTAAAACTTGGAGAGGGTTCAGACGAAACCATAAAGATGATTAAAAGATTGTTTTTTGAGGTGGGAAAGAGAATGTTCCTTGAAGAAAAAGGCATTGGGATTAATTAAACAGAAAGGAGGATATTTCAATAAGATGTTTTGATAGATGGAGGGCTTTTGCGCACACAGCACCGACCAGCTGTTCTCCTCTGTTGAGAACCAGATACAAGAGGAGGCCAAAGCTGATGTCTTCTGTGTTTAGGAAACCCTGTCCCAGCTGTTGCACAGCAGGGAAACCTGGGCTCTCAGTGACACCAGAAGAAAGTCACCCTGTCTGGATGGTTTAGAGGTGGGGCAGGCAGAGGAAGGCCCTCCAACTGCGCCTGCCAGAGCTCTGGCGGTGGTCGACCCCTGGAGGCTACGCAGGGGCTGGCTGGCATTTGTGGTGGCAGAAGTCATACTGGTCTGGTCCTCTTCTCCCTTTCAGTCTCTTTGTCTTTTTTGTCCCTTTTTAACATTGGTTAAAGATAGTAACCTAAAACTTTGAACCAAGGAGATGGTCAGACTTTCTCTCTGCAGAGACTGCTGGAGACCCCTGCTCTGGAAGCCCCAGGCCGGATTCTCTGGGCCTGTGTTTAGGCAATGCTCCCTAGAAGGCCCCTGTGTTCTCCTCTGGAGGGAGCACGGGCTCTGCCTGCATGGTTGGGGCTGTAGCAAATGGAGGCCTGCTCTGGACCTAACAGAGCAAAACACTGAGCTGCATGGGCTGTGCACCTTCTGTGCAGGAACTCGCAGCCAGGGTGGAGATAGGCGGGACACAGCTCATCTCTGTGAAACCACAATGCCAGGCTGCTCTTAGAGCTGAGGTGATCACCCTTGGCCTGAGAAAGGAACCCTGAGGGCTTCCCACCCCCCACTGCTGACAGCTACAGCAGACCAGGCTTACCTCAGGTCGGCAGGTCCAGCTATCCACATGCCACACACCATGGGACCCAGTGTCCCATTAGTGCATCCTTGGTCTCCATTCCCAGCCTGCAGGGGGGGTCCTTCCAGGCATTGCCCATAGCCCAGGAATCTGAGATCAGTCCAGAAACGGTCCAGAAAATGAGAGGGTCTCTTGAGGCAGCTTTGTGCTGTGTCAGCATTAGAATTCCTGATGACAGGGGGTTGCAGCGGACAGAGCTGTGCTCCCGGCAGCAGGAGGTGGGCTGAACAAAGCCAACATGCTTCCAGACAGCCAGAGTAGACCCAGACAGCAAGCATACTCGTGTGTGTGTGTGTGTGTGTGTGTGTGTGTGTGTGTGTGTGTGTGTGTGTGTGTTAAACAAACCCATCAGCCAAGACAAACAGAACCTAATCTCCTGGCGTCAGCTCACAGTTTTCAAAAATAGGTTGCTTCCCATGATGTTTTCCTTCCCTCTGTTTTGTTCCAACTCCAAGCCTACTAGCCCTCCCTGCTATCTTATAAATCAAACAGAGAAAGAACGATTCTGG